CACTCTGGGAGTGGAGGTAGAAGAATTGGAAGTTTGACTCCAACCTGGGCAATTTAGTGAGAACTTGTCTCAAAATAAAAAGATAAAAAGATGAGCTTGGGTGGTAGCTCCATGCAAAGCTTTGGATTCAATCTCAAGTATCAAACCAAATAGAAAATTTGAAAAAACTTGTAAAACAGACTGAAAAGATGTCAAAGCCAATGTACAGTGTCATATTACTGCAGTGTTAGGAAATCATGCAAATATGTACAATCATTATCAATAGGAGACAAAATGATGATGGGAAAGCAACGTCGTAAAGCACTACGCAGCTGTTCAAAGGTGAAGGCTAATGGAACGTTCTGAACAGTTATGAAACAGATCAGGGCTGGGGCTGCAGTGTGGCTCGGTGGAACAGTGCATGCCCAGGATTTGTGAGGCCACGGGTTCCGGGCCCAGCACTAGAGGGGGAAAGAACAGAAAGAGATTGCAACATAGCTTGTGAAGCAAAGATGGCTGTCTTTCAATGCAAATCCTTGTAACAGGCACACTGTGTCCTCAGCAAGGACATAAGAACATGCTGCCCATGGTTTCCCCTGGCCAGGGCAGGGTGGAAGGGGTAGGTGGGATAGCCAAATTTTCTTTATGTCTTCACGTCCCCACTCTTTTTTTGTGTGGTGGTTCTCAGCATGGTAGACAAGTGTACTACTCTGAGCGATGATATCCCAGCTCCCCTACTTTAAATTTTTAGGGAGATTTTTACTAAGTTGCACAGGTTGGTCTCAAAATTCTGAGCTCAAGTGATCCTCTTGATTCAGCCCCCCAAATCCTGAGACTATAGGTGGAACTGGGGATTGAACTCAGGCCCTTGTGCTTGCTAGGGAAGTATGTATTCTACTGAGCCATCTCCCTGACCCCTAAGTCGCACAGGTTGGTCTCAAAATTCTGAGCTCAAGTGATCCTCCTGATTCAGCCCCCCGAAACCTGAGACTATAGGCATAAGCCACGTTGCCCAGATGCTTGACATTTTTGCTCATGGGCATACATCAGAAAATGTTTAAAGGGAAAATTTAGCCAAAGGGAGAGACTCCTGCCAGCCTCTGGTGAGCATCCCTCAATAATTAACAGTGGAGTTCAGTGTTGGCTTACCAGGAACCTCAGCCTCCCCTTCCTTCTCCAGTGCCCTCTGCCTCACCCAGCTTGTCGGGGAACCTGAGGGCTGTGCAGCCAGGCTTGTCCAGAGTGACGGAAGTGAGAGCAATTCTTGCACGGCCCCTGGCTCAGAGGAGGCTCGAGCAAGGGCATGACTCGGAGATATTGGGCAAGGCAGGGGCCTCCCTCTGCCCTGGGGTGAGCCCCAGTCACTGTGCCTGGCTGGCTCTGGGAGATGTGGGGGGACCTGGAGGACTTGGGGCTCCTGAGGAATTTGGTCTGTGGCTGGATTCTGGATGATGTGGTTCTTTTTATTTTGTTTGTTTGTTTTTTTGGAACTGGGGATTGAACTAGGGCCCTTGAGCTTGCCAGGGAAGCACTTATTCCACTGAGCCATCTCCCCGGCCCGATGTAGTTCTGAGTAAGATTCACAGAGGGCCAAATCTGAATTGTCTATGGATACCGTTAATACTAATGATAGTGACTGCATCAGGGACACTTTAGGGAATGTCATGTTGAGCACCACCTTTACAGTCCTGAAAACTCTAGGATGATCCCCATATGTAAAGGCTGCAATGGAGCGAACAGCTAGGTGTGCTCCTGTGCTAACGAGCTTGCCTCATTTCTCCATCCCTGCTCAGCCACATTTGTCTCTGTGCTCCTGCACTTTGCACTGTGACCCAACTGCTTTCTTTCAGTTGGTGCTATAACCTAAAAGCTGTGTGATCTCGGACAAACTGCTTCTCTGGGCCTCAGTCTCTTCCTCTGTAAAATGAAGATAATCCTTATTTCACAGACTAGCCCAGAGTGAATAAGTTAGTGAGTCTAAAGTGCCGTATGTATAGCTGTGTGTGGCTCGTAAGAAGCCTGTGTTTGACATGATTGCTACTGTTAGCACCCTGCATTTCACCAACTCTAAGATGTCATCAGTTGTGGAAGATGTTGGAGAGGAGAAAAGAAATGATGCCAGTTAACCATGTCCCAAGACTAGAATTTTGTATTTCCCCAAAGAGCTCTGTTTCACTTAAATGTAGATTATTAAATATAATTCTGCCAGGGAGATAGCTCAGTAGAATAAGTGCCTGCTTGGCAAGTGCAGGGTACTGAGTTCAATCCCTAGTACCGAAAAAAAAAAAAAAGAAAAAAAAATATATATATGTATTTCTGATGTGAACATAAAAAGCAAAATAAATTTGTGACCCTATTCAGAAATCGCCTTCACATTTTTCCATTTTCCATTTATTTATTTATTTATACCAGCAATCAAACCCAGGGCCTTGGGCTTGCTAGGCTGACACTACGGTGCTGAGCTACATCCTGGCTTCCCTCACATTTTAGAGGCTGCCTGCCTCCTGTGTATTACTTCTGGTCTAAGAGTTCAGAATTCTGTGTGTTTTCTGGCCACCTCCTCTGCTGGCCCATCAAGGGCTACAAAAAGTAGCACGACTCCAGCCCAGGTGATCCACACCAGCAGAGCTTGTCTCTGCAGCAGCCAGCCTCGCAGCCACGGAGTAAGCCCACTTTTGCCTGGGCTTTGAGTGCTGTCAGTAAGGCTGAGGCAGGAGGAGCGCTTTGGGTCCCAGGTTTAAAGGGTACTTCATGCCTGTCTTTGGAATTTCTACTGACACCCTTTTTCCAGGATTCCATGCTCACAATTTTGTTGTTGTGGTTTTTGTTTGGAGACAGGGTCTTTTTATTGTTGTTGTTGTTTGGAGACAGAGTCTTTCTCTGTAGCCCAGTCTGGCCTTGAACTTGTGCTGATCCTCCTACCTCAGCCTCTCAAGTGCTGGGATCCCAGGCTTGAGACAGGGTCTTAGAGTGTAGTCCAGGATGGCCTTGAACTCTCTTGTATCCCAGGCTTGGCTCAGACTTGCAAACTGCCTCAGCCTCCAGGAGTTAGATTACTGGCATTCACCACCACACCCAGCTTGTACTTTCGAAACATGGGCATTTGCTGGCAGTGACAACTAAGTCAGGGTAGCAGTCGAGCAGCCAGCAAACAACTATCCCATGTAACCTGACTTTAGAGATATTATATGTAAAAAGTAGTGTCTCAGAACAGGTAAAACCTGAATCATTTCTAATCTTTACACTGGCCTTGCTTTGGGCTGCCTCAGAGCATTGTATATTCTGTTGTTGCTGCTGGGAACACCCTTCCTCCCTCTCTTCTTTGCCTCAATGACCTAGTGGTCCCTGATCTCATGCCTTCTCTGACTGTCCCACCAAACTCACGTCCACACCCCTCCAAAGCATCTAGTACAGGTGCAACCTTAATTTGAGCATGTGGGGGCTGGCCAAATAGCTCAGTGGATTAAAGTGCCTGCAAGCAGGCGCAGGGGCAGGGTTGGATCCTGTAGTGCTGTCCCGACCCAAGGGCATGTGGAGGTGGCAATTGAGAATGGGCGTGGTGGCGCGGGCCTGTAATTCCAGCTCTTGGGAGGCTGTAAATAAGCAGATCACTACCAGTCTGATCTAGTAGTGTGACCCTGAACACCCTGTAGACTCTTTCCTAAAATACCAAAAAAAAAAAAAAAAAAAAATTGAGCATGTGGTTTTTAGGTACCTGACTCCCCAGTGTTTTGTGTATCCATGGAGTAGGGAGAGTCCTATGCCCTAACATCCAAGTGTCTGGTAAAAAGAGAGGGAAATGGAGAGGGAACTAAGGCCACACAGTGGGTGGAGTTGTCCCAGGCTGTCCTCCTGACTCTGGGACATGTATTGTTGGTCTGGCACCACACTGCTTTCCTCTAAGGGATTTGTCCAACCTGCTTGTGTTCCAGATGGAAAACTGAGGCCTGGCCAGCTGCGGTTACCTACTGACAGAACCATGTATAGAGTATGAGGTGGGGTGGTCAGAGGGGGGCGGGTGCACACTCCCATGAGGTTCAGAGCAGGCTTCCTAAGGGGGGTTTCAGAACTAGGCCTCATGGGTGGGGTGGCTTGGGTAGAGCTGAGAGACATCAAGGGGACAAGAAAGAAGGATGCAGTGTGGCATACCAGGAGAGGCACATGTGGGCCTTTGCTCCAGGCTCAGAGTCCCTTCCAGGAGGGACCCATGCTGAGACTGCTTCTTTTGTTTCAGGTTGGGAAAGCTAGGCCCAGAGATTTGAAGGATGCCCCCCATAGCTGTGGGCTGGCCTTGTCTGAGATGCTGGGAGGATGGGGGGTTAGGCAGCACCAGGGAAACCTGGTTGTTGCACCCGGAAGGAGGAAGCTGCACAGGGTGTCTGTGGCTCTGCTGGGATCCCCCCTCAGGGACTTCCTCTTCCTCTCTGGGCAGGTGCAGCTGCCACAGCGGGACCGACACCCTGACCCCGACATGGAGGGGGGCCAGGGGCCCAGACTTAGAGACTTCCTGAGTGGGAGCCTGGCCACCTGGGTGAGGAGCAGGGAGGGAATGGGGCTGCAGAGAAGTGAGACAGCGGGGCACAAGGCTGGGCAGGTTGCACTCGCTTGGGGGTGGAGCCCTGGGGAAGTGAGGGAGACCAAAGGGTCCAGAACCTGTGACCAGAATCCTTTACTGCCTTCGTGAAGAGGGCGTGCTGGGGCTCACTGGAGCAGGTTAGAGGGCCTAGGTTTTGTTCTGTTGTCCAGTGGACTTACTCTTTTCCCCACAGGTGCAGGGACTGGCTGAGCTGGTGGGGGAGGCGGAGGAAACTTCTGAGACAGAGGAGGAAGAAGGGCCTCTTAGGCCAGAAAAGCGGTTCCTGTGGCTCAGCAATGGGGCTCTCCTCCTCCGGGTGCTGGGCATCATGTAAGGGACCAGAGAAAGTTATGCTTGGAGGGATCCCCCAGAGGCGGTTGGCAGGGCTGGTAGGAGGAACCTGAGAGCGGTGGGCAGAGCCTGCTGTGCCTCAGACCCCCTCTGGGAAGTAGGTCTTTAAGCCCACCTCTCAACCATGGCCCTGTGCCCATAGTGCTCCCAGTGCCCGAGGGGGGCTTCGGATGGCCAGTAGCCATGATGGACCTGAGGCCTGTAGGGTATGGAACCTGAGCCAGCTGTGGACCCGACTGAGGGACTTCTACCAGGTTGGGGGTTCTGGAGAGGAAGGTGGAGTGGGGGACAATGCCCTACAGGAAGATGTCTCAAATCTATATCCCTGCCCCTTAATCCAGGAAGAGCTGCAGCTTCTGGTCTTGTGGCCACCTCCAGATCTCCAGACATTGGGGTTTGACCCCCTCTCAGGTGCTCTCCCCAGCCTAGCCTTCTCCTCCTATCCCCCCCCCCCACAGCACCCCTGTAATCTCCCTGGCTTGTGCCCTGCAGAGGAGGCGGTGGAGGGGCTGGAAGGCCTGCTTCGGCTGCTGCTGGGGGCATCAGTGCAGGTAGGAGAGGGGTGGGGAGGAAGGGGCTGAGCTGGGCTTGGAGGAGGGGGCCCCTGCCTCAGTCCCTTCTCTTGTCTCCATGCAGTGTGAGCAGCGGGAACTCTTCATCCGCCACATTCAGGGGCTAAGCCTTGAGGTTCAGAGTGATCTGGCCGCTGCCATCCAGGAGGTACGGGGCAGCCCAGGTCTGTCCCCGGGACAGCCCCACCACTTGTCTTCTTCCCATGAACTTCTCATGTGCCCCCAGGTGACCCAGCCTGGGGCTGGTGTGGTGCTGACACTGGCTGGACCAGAGCCCGGGGAGCTGGCACCGTCAGAGTTGGAGATACTGTCCCGGAGCCTAATGGGGACACTGTCCAAGCTGGCCAAGGAGAGGGACCTGGGGGCTCAGGTTAGATGAGGGTACTTCCAGGCATCATGGACCCAGATATGAGGGGAAGATGGGGGTTTGAAGTCTAGCTGTGGGTTTGGCGTCTGGGTCTTCAACTATCAGGGTTGTCACTACCAGGTTGATCTTTCCATGTGGGGGAGAATGTGGGCAGAGAGGGGATGGTTATTCCTGACTTTTAACCTTCAACCACCTATAGAGGCTGGTGGACTTGCTGCTGCAGCAGAGGTGGGTTCCCTTGCTGCCCGAGGCTCCTGTCAGGGCTCCCACAGATGGCCCGCACCACCTGACACTGCAGCTGGCAAATGCCAAGGCCCAGTTGCGGCGCTTGAGGCAGGAGCTGTGAGTGTTTGGGGGTCAGGGAATGGACAGCCTGATGTCCTCCCAATGGAGGGGAGAGGGCAGTCCCATGAGGAGAAAGGGATGACTTCCCACACCCGGCTCCAGTGCTCCATCCCTCCAGGGAGGAGAAGGCTGAGCTGCTGTTGGACTCTCAGACTGAAGTACAGGGCCTGGAGGCTGAAATTCGAAGACTCCGTCAGGAGGTGCCTTCAGATGCCCCCACCCTGCCATTGCTTCCCCTCACTCTTCCCTCTGTTCCTCCAAGCCCCACTCTTCCTGTCTCCCATCTTTCTGGCCCTTGGTTGACTGGTCCCAGCTCTGTATCATCTGACCCAGACCCAGGCCCTGTCAGGACAAGCCAAGCGAGCAGAGCTGTTCCGAGAGGAGGCAGAGGCCCTCCGGCAGAGGGCGGGCCGCGTGTCCCGACTGCAAGAGGAGCTGGGGCGCTGTCGTGAGCGACTTCAGGCTGCTGAGGCTTGCAAGAGCCAGCTGGAGGTGAGGAGGAGGCGGGGCGTGGGAGGGGTGAGGTTGGGCCTAGAGTGCAGAGGGTCTCCCTTTATGGGGAGAGGGGAGCAGTTAGGGCTGACAGAAATGGATCAGAGTCCATGCAGAGAGGCAGTGTTTAGGGATGGGAGGTGGAGAGGACAGTGAGGGAGGTCCTGAAGGGCACTGGGGTGGGGGCTGCCCCACACCTCAGGCCAGGTTCTCTTTGTTCCCCCAACAGGAGGAGCGCATGCTCTCACAGGCTCTGGAGGCCTCAAAGGCACTGCTGGAAGAGCAGCTGGAGGCTGCCCGAGAGCGCTGTGCTCGACTCCATGAGGCCCAGCGTGAGAACCTGCTGCTACGTGCCCGGCTAGGCGAGGCTCACACGGTGAGGTCGCCTGAGGGATCCTGGTGACCTCTACACTCAGTGCTCTGCAGGGACCTGCACACCTAGCCTGGATACAGTGTGGAGGGCTGGGCTGACTCTGTCCCTCCACCCTCTAGGAGCTGGACTCTCTGAGGCATCAGGTGAACCAGCTCACAGAAGAGAATGTGGAGCTGGAGCTGGAACTCTGCCGGAGTCTGGAGCCACCTTTGAACTCTCCTGTAGTGGGTGGGTGTGGCCTTAGGAGGGAAACCTGGGACGGGGGACCTGTGTTTTCCTACAGCTGTGATAAAGAGAGCTTCAGTCCTCATCCTCCATATGTGGAGACCCAGGGGTTGGTGAAGGTGCTGACCTCTCTTATACCTCCAGCACCCCTGCCCAGAACAGCCCCATCACTGCAGGATGAGGTGAGGGAGGCAGAAGCAGGGCAGCTGCGAACCCTGGAGCGGGAGAACCAGGAGCTTCGAGGCCTGCTTCAGGTGCTGCAGAGGCAGCAAGGTGATCAGGTGAGTCCTGCCCATCACCTTGAGGTAGCCCCTTCCTGACTTCCCAGGGCCTAACTGACCCTCTCATGTACCCTCAGCACCCCCTGCTGGAGGAGCAGAGTGGAGAGCCTGTGCTTCTGGTACTGGATGGCACCCCACGGACACCCCTGGGCTCTGATCACAATTCCCAGGGCTCAGATGGCCAGGTGGGGGATCAAGACCCCCAGCCGGATCCTCCTTCATCAGACTCATGCCTGGAGGGGTCAGCTGAGAGTCTCCAGGCCTCTGATTCATGCCAAGAGTTGACAGAGAGGCCCTTCCAGGCATCTGCTCCAGCCCCCCAGACTTCACACTTGCCCCCCCAAGAGTCAGATGCTGGCATAGAGACACAAGAGTCCCTGGAGAAGACTAGACCCAGAGCCCTTCTCCAGTTACCCACTTCTGTAGCCCCACATCAGGGTCCAGAGATCAAAGTAGAGGATCAGCAGTTGCTGGGAGGAGAGACTGGAGAGATGCAGGCTCCCCAAAAGGAGTTGATGCCTGAGGCCCAGGGTCTGAGACAGGAGGCTGCTGAGCACAAGCGAGGCTTCTCAGAGCTCAGCCACAGTGAGTTGCTAGAGAAGCAGGAGCCTGTGGGCCAGGGACTGGACGAGTCTACCAGACACACAGAGGCCCAAGGGCATGAGCGGTGGCTGGAGGGGATGGTCAGAGAGCCAGCCCCTCCATTAGCACAGCAGACATCTGAAGGAGCTCCTGATGTCAGGGCCTGGGAAGGGCAGATTCTGGGGGAAGCCCTGGGTGGTGGTGTCTCAGAGCAGCAGGCCCTCAGGGAGGATGTGGCTCGGCTGAGGACAGAGGCCACAGCCCTGGAGGCTGAACTGGAGGCCCAGGCCCGAAGGCTGGAGGCCCGAGGTGCAGAGGTGGCCCGCCTCTCTGAGGAGCTGGCCCATGCGCAAAGGGCAGAGGCTGAAGCCCACCAGGAGGTGGAGGCCCATGCTCGAGAACAGACCCGGCTTCGAGAAGCTGTGGAGGCAGCTGGCCGGGAGTTGGAGGCTGCATCCCGGGAGCGGGAGGTGCTGGCAGAGGCTTTGGCAGTAGCAGGCCGAGAGCGGAGACAATGGGAACGTGAGGGGCCCAGGCTACGGGCCCGGGCTGAGGCTGCGGAGGAGCGGGTGCAGGCACTGGAAAGCCAGGGCCAAGGCTACCTGGAGGAGGCTGAGCGGGAACACCGGGAAAAGCAGGCCCTCAGGGAGGTAAGTTGGGGCTTCTGTCACCAGGGTTGGTGGCAAATGGGGTTCCAGGATAGTTGCTTGGGTTTGGGGTTGTAGATTCCTAGCACCAGGCTAGGTCATTCCCCTGCTTTCCTAGGACTTAGCAGATGGCTGTGGCTGGTGATAGGTTAGACTGCCTGGGTAGGTATACTCTGGCTATAGCAGTTTAATCACTTCAGCGCCAGTGCCTCCTTCTGTAAAATGGGGTTGCCCTTCCTGGCTGATTTGGGGGTAATCATGATGTGAAGGGCTAGGCCACTGTTGGACCAAGACATGGTGCTATTTTTGGAACCAGGAATTGAATTCAGGCCCTTGAGCTTGCCAGGCAGGCGCTATATGGCTGAGCTATATCCCCGCCCTTAAGGCATATTGAAAGTCAACAAGAAATGCACTTTTAGGGCAAATCCTATAAGGAAAGGGAGCTGCCCTGTAGGTGGGGGTAGGATTGACCAAGATTTCATTTGGTGGGAATGGATAAAGCCTTTAAGGGGCCCATGAAGCATGAGGCAAGGGGGCCATCTTTGAAGGTGTTCAGACTCCGTCCTCAGGCAGCCACTTGAGGGTATGGGCAGCCCTCCTCAGAGCTGGATTTGAGGAGGGTTACCTTGACTGGCAGGAAGCCTTGGTCCATCAGGAGGCACTGGTAGCAATGCAAGCAGCAGGTGAAGCTGGCAGGGGAAGGGACAGTGAAAGAGGGAAGAGAAAGCCTAGAGACACTTGTGCTCCATTTACTCATATGTGTTTTACAGGCTGTGCCAGGCCATGTATCAGGCATTGGGTGCATAGCACTAGGCAGCCAGCACTCTGGACTCAGGCTGTGGCTCATCTGGAAGACTTCCTGAAGGGGAGTAGGGCCTCAAAAGGTTAAAGATAGTCAGCATGAGTTGGAGAGGTATGAGGTAGGGCTTGGAGAAGCGAGGCTGAGAATAGATTAAGAAGTGTTCCTCCTTTCTTCCAAACCCAGGGAAGAGTTGGGGCTTGTATATTGCTCAGTCCATGTAGAGAGATACATCAGGGGAAGTGGAGGACAGCACAAGGCCAGGAGAGGGGTATTGAAGCCAGTGAGCCGCAGTGTGAAGAGTAGGGGCCTCATGGGCAAGGAATGGTATTTCCTGGTGTGCACAGCTTTGAGGTCCACCTATTGTGCAGACAGGGACATTGAGATTCAGAGAGCAAGAGGGACTTATCCAAATTCCTCCTAATGGCAAGGAGTGATAACATGGTTGGGTTGACCTCGGGTTAGGCCTTGAGCAAGGCAGGCTGGGGGAAGGGAGGTTGAGAAAAGTGAGAGATGGAGGTGACAAGGTGATGGGTGACAATAGATGCTGTCAGCTCAAAGGAAATGCATCACATCCCAGATATGCTTTTCAGCTATGTGGCTTGGGGCAAGTTACTTCAGTTGTATGAATCCTGTTTCCTCACTTAGAAAATTGGAATAAAAACTGTATGTCTCCCAGAGCTTGTAAGATAATAGAGAAAGCTTGGCGCAGTGTTGGCTCCTACTGTATGGTTTCTGGAGACAGGGATACCCGGAGGACAGGTGAGGGTAGGGCTGGTGAACTAGAAGAGCTGCTGTGAGGACCCAGAGGGTAGAAGAAGCTGGAGACAAAGGGAATTTTGTGGGATTTCCCAGTTGGAGCAGTTCCTGGTGCTACCTGGGTGTGGCACAGGTCTTGCTAGCCGGCTAGGTTGGGGAGCTATGGGCCTTCAGGTTGTCTTGTGGGGTGTGGCCAGGACCTGCTGGGGCAGGGCAGGGCTTGGGCCACTGCCTTTCTCCTACCACCTTTCTCCCTACCTCAGCTGCACTCAAGTGGCAGAGCTGTTGGTGGATGGCCAGGCAGCAATGCCTTGTGGGACTTGTAGTTTTTTTTTAGCAGCAGTCTAAGAGCTTGAGTGTTAGGAAGAGCATTACCCATGGCAAGGCTGGTAGGACTCTTCAGGCAGGATGATCATTCAACAGTAGCACCTTGTAGACTTGGCTTCCAGGAGCAAGATGTAGCAGGAGACTCGTTAATATCACCCTTTCTGTAGCTTCATCTTGCCAGGGTCCCTGTGTGTCAGAATGGTTTGGTCTACCTTCTTGAGGGAGCCTGCACCCCTCTGTCTGAAATGGTGTGGCCCAACTGCCAAAGACAAGGCCTTGTCCCCTCCTGGTCTTTACTGTAGTTAGGCGTGCAACCTCAAAGTTCCTGTCCTGACTGCACACTGAAGCTGGCCCCGTGGAGTGGAGGATGTTTTTCAGGCCCAATTCTACCGGGCCCCTGTTGCTTCCACAGGGCTGATGTGATGCCCCATAGGGCACGGTTCCCTGTCCCTGGGCACAGGAGGAACTATGGCCTCCGACAGGTGAAGATCCTTGTGGAGTGTTATCCTCTGATTTGGTCCAGGGACCTGCTTGAATTATAGCAGGCTTTGCTCCTATTTAATAGGTGGAGGGGTAGAGAGTCAAAGGGTTAAAGAGCTGGGAGTAGTGGCACATGCTGGTGACCTCCATAGTCTGGGAGGCCGAGGCAGGAGGATTGTAAGTTTGAGCCCAGCTTGGGCAATGGAGTGACTTAGCAAGATCCTGTTTCAAATTAAAAAAAAAAAAAAAAATAATAATAAACTTACAAAAATCTAGCATCCTACTTGGCCTCAGGAGGAGGAAGGGTCATGCCTACCCCCTGAGCCTTTTCTGCCTGCCCTCAGGAGCTTGAGAAGGCCATGGCACGGGGCCAGGAGCTGGGATCCCGGCTGGAGCACCTGCAGCAGGAGCTGGAGCAGGCGGCTCAGGAGCGCCAGAAGTTTCTTTGGGAGCAGGAGAACCAGCAGCAGAGGTGGGAACTGTGCCCAGGGGCAGCGAGGGACAGGGAGTAAGTCTGGGTGCCAAGGCATCTCCTGGCAGGTACCAGGGCCTGGAGCAGCGGCTAGAGGCTGAGCTGCAGGCGGCAGCCACTAGCAAGGAGGAGGCACTGTTGGAGCTCAAGAGCCGGGCTTTGAAGCTGGAGGAGGAGCTGCTCCAGGTGAGGCTGGCAGGGAGTTGGGACCCATCTGCTCCTCCTGCCAACCCATAGCTGACATCCAGGCTCCCTGCACCCTTCTTGCCTCAGGATCCTTGGCTAGCTGCTTGCCTTATACCCCCCTGGGGCTTCTGGAGGGAGCATTGTGTGGAGAGTCAGACAGCTGGGTGGCCGTCTTGAGCTTAGGACAGAACCTCTGCTTCTGGTGGCTGCTCTGCATCTCTGGCCCTGACTACTGCTTCCCAGTGATCCAGTTACTGATTTGTTCTGATGCCCTAATGAAGGAGTCAGGCTCACTGGCATGGATCCTTGTGCCATCCTCAAGCCACTGCTACTTCCCCAAATGACCTCCTAGATCTGTCCTTGCAGCTGCGCCAGGGCCCTGTGGGGCTGGGTCCCGAGGGACACTCTGAGCCACAGATTGCAGCAGCCCAGGGTAGCCGGCTCATTGAGGTAGAGCGCAGTGTGAGTAAGGGACTGTTGGGGAGCCGGGTGGGGGCAGCTGCCTGGCCACTGCTGACCCCGCCTTCTGGACAGAATGCAACACTGGTGGCTGAGAAGGCAGCGCTTCAGGGACAACTTCAGCACCTGGAGGGGCAGCTGGGGGACCTGCAGGGCCGGGCCCAGGAGCTGCTGCAGCAGAGTCAACGGGCACAGGAGCACAGCAGCCGCTTACAGGTGGGTGGCAGCTGGTACCTGTGCCCTGCTCACTCCCACTCACCCTTTGGTTATCATTCTGTGCAGCACCTCTACTGCATTCCCAGCCAGCTGCCTCACCTCTGCTCCCTAGTCACGTGTACTCTTCCCTGTCTGATCCCAGCCTTCCCAGTCTGAATCCCTTTCCCAGCCCCAGCCCCATTTGTCCACCCGTGCCCTGGTCCTGTTACCCTCCCCACATAGCCTAGCACTACCAGGTCCCATACTGGCTCTGCTTGTCCTCTGCACCCTGCCCTTTGCCCATGGTTTGGGCTTGGGGTCCCACCACAAATCCCCATTCTCTCCTCCTAGGCTGAGAAGTCTGTGCTGGAGCTGCAGGGCCAAGAGCTGCACCAGAAGCTGGGGGTGCTGGAGGCAGAGGTTCTTGCAGCGCGGCAGGCCCATGAGGAGGCTCGAGGGCAGCAGCAGGCCCTGCTGCGGGACCACGAAGCCCTGGTGCAGCTGCAGCGGCGGCAGGAGGCTGAGCTGGAGGGCCTGCTGAGCCGGCACCGTGACCTCAAGAACAATATGCGGGCACTAGAGCTGGCCCACCGGGAGCTGCAGGGCCGGTGAGCTATCCCCAAATGCCCTGCTTCTTCCCATCACCCACTTGCCTGGACAGGAACCCTCAGCAGCTCTGACCCACCAGGAAGTACTACATGGTCACAGGCAGCTCCTCTCTGTGACACCCCTATTGCTGGGTTCCCTCTTGGGTCTAGGCCCCTGCACTTCTGACTTAGCTTACTGTTGGCAGTGGTGGCACGTCGTGTGGCCTTTTGTGCTGTGGCTTTGCTTTGGGAGCCTAATGCTCAGGAAATGACAGACCTGGGTCCAGATATCCTAGCACCCATTTGCTATGGCCTGGGGTCCTGCAGCCCTCTTGGTCCCTTGCCCATCAGGCATGAGCAGCTGCAGGCCCAGCGGGCCAATGTGGAGGCACAGGAGGTGGCCCTGTTGGCTGAGCGTGAGCGCCTAATGCAGGATGGACATCGGCAGCGAGGCATGGAAGAAGAGCTGCGGAGGCTGCAGAGTGAGCATGACAGGTACCTGCCCCTCGGGTCCCATCTGAAGTGGGTTGGCTGCATTTGTCACCATTTCTGGTGGGTTCCCTGGCTCTGGGAGAATAGCTGTCTTTGCCCTCAAGAGCTCAGATACTGTTGGCGGAGGTGTCTCGGGAACGTGGGGAGCTGCAGGGTGAGCGTGGGGAGCTGAAGGGGCGACTGGCAAGGCTGGAGCTGGAGAGGGCACAGCTTGAAGTGCAGAGCCAGAAGCTGCGTGAGTCCAACCAGCAGCTGGACTTGAGTGCCTGCCGGCTGGCCACACAATGCGAGGTGTGATGGTGGGGAGGCTGCCTGGGGTGGCTGAGTGGAGGGCATCTGGGGAGAGTGGCCCAGGTCATTGTGAGCCAGGCTCATCCCCAACTGGTACCAATGCTTGCAGCTGCTGACAGAGCTGCGGAGCGCCCAGGAGGAGGAGAACCGGCAGCTGCTGGCCGAGGTGCAGGCTCTAAGCCGGGAGAACAGAGAGCTGCTGGAGCGCAGTCTGGAGAGCCGGGACCACCTGCACCGTGAGCAACGCGAGTACCTGTGAGCAGGCTGGTGGCCCCCGGGGCTGGCTAGCACTGGTCTGGTCAGTCTCACCTGTGGCATGGTTGCCCAGCCTGGCTGCTTCTCAAGTGCACCCCGCCCTATGCCCTTCCACCAGAGACCAGCTTAATGCTCTTCGCCGCGAGAAGCAGAAGCTGGTAGAGAAGATCATGGACCAGTATCGAGTGCTGGAGCCTGGGCCCCTGCCCCGGACCAAGTGAGGACCCCCAGCTTCCAGGGGCTCACGCCCTGCCAACCTCCGCCCCTGCCTTCCCCTCTGCCCTCTGGCCCAGCTCAGGCACAGGCCCCAGTGAGGGTTGGCCTGGTCTTTGCCATCTCTGACATACCCTTCTTTCTTCCTTTCTGTCCTGACCTTCTCTTGTGCCCTCTTGCCCCCAGGAAGGGCAGCTGGCTGGCAGACAAGGTGAAGAGGCTGATGCGGCCCCGGCGGGAGGGGGGCCCCCATGGGGGGCCACGCCTGGGGGCCGATGGGGCTGGCAGCACCGAGAGCCTGGGGGGCATCCCAGAGGCTGAGCTCCCTGAGGGCAGGGAGGCAGATGGGACAGGTGGGTCTGGGTCCAGGTCTCCTTTCCCTTTGTCCCCCATATGCCCTTTGCCTCTGCCTCTGCCTGCCCAGATGCTTCCACAACTCCTTAGACTGGGCCCTGCATGATCTCTCTCACTGCCACCTTCCTTTTACCTGTGCTGTCACCTACCCAGTCCTACCCCATACTTGGCAGGGGCTGGAACCTAGAAGTGGCAGGGACTTTAGGGAGAGGGCCTCTATCTTAGCAGCAGATGAGGAAACTGGGGCTCCCAGAAGGGCAGTTGTATCACCCAAAGTCACACAGTGCAAATGTGTTCGAGTCAGCACAGAGCCCACCCTCCTGGGGGGCTGCCCCACCTTGTCTGGCCCCTTCTGTGCTCTGCACCTCTCTCCTTGGTCCCATATATCTTCACTCACACCTCCCTGCTGGGGGGTCCTCCCTGCACTCTGACACCCTATGGGGGATGTGCCTCTTGCAGGAGCCCCTTCACCAGCACCCATGCGCCGGGCCCAGAGTTCACTCTGCCTACGAGAGACCCTGGCTGGTGGCAGGCAGCGGCGGAAACTCAGTTCCCGGTTCCCCACGGGGCGAAGCTCTGAGTCATTCAGCCCAGGGGACACCCCCCGGCAGAGGTTCCGCCAGCGCCGTCCGGGCCCCCTGGGAGCACCTAGCACCCACAGCAAAGGTAAGGGGCCAGATCCCTGCCCCTGTTAGCCTGCTACTCTCTGTGGGCCCACCATCTTAGGGGAGGGAACTTCCCATCCTGTGTCTGTCTGCTACAAACCCTGCCTATCTACCCCTGTCTCTGGGCTGCTTTGTGTCCACCAGGTGTGGAATGGGACGGCTCCACCAAGACCCCCCAGGAACATGAAGCAGATGCCAGCAGAGAGAGTGAGTCAGGTCTGGGGAGCAGTGGGTGTGTCTGTCCTGCCTGGCGCCCTGGCAGTCCTCATCCACCCATCTTTCATCTGATGATGCTTTTTTACCAAATGCCAGCAGTGCTATTGGGGACACAGGGAAGACATGCTGGGGCTGGGGTCACAGATACAAATAATGAGAGCCTGCCACAGTCCTGCCCAATAGAAGTACAATTTGGCTTTTCTAGTAGCTTCATCAGAGTAAGGAGAAAGAGCCCTATGTGGTGGCAGATGCCTTTAACTCCTCAACATTCTGGGAAGCTGAAGCAGGAAGATCACAATTTTGAACACAGCTTGAGGAATTTAATGAATTATTGAGACCCTGCTTCAAAATAAAAAATGACAAAAAAGGTCTGGGGATGTTGCTCAGTGAGAAGACCCAGGGTTCAATCCCTAGTACCTGCCCAAAAAAAGGAAAAATGATAGGTAAAGTGAATCTTTTTTCCAGTACTGGGGATTGAACTCAGGACCTCACACTCGCCAAGCAAGCGCTTATTCTACTGAGCTATCTCCCCAGCCCTGGTAAATCTTAATAACATGTCTTTTTGTTTGTTTTTTTGAGACAGGGTCTTGCTGTGTAGTTCAGACTGGTCTTGAGCTCACTTTGTAGCCCAGGCTGGCCTCGAACTTTTCACTGTCCTCCTGCCTCAGCCTACAAGTGCTAGGATTACAAGCATGTGCCACCACACCTGGCAATAGCATATTTAATTCAGTATGCTTAAATTATTGTGTTTCAACATGTACCCAGTGTTAAAGTCACCAGTGAGGCATCTGACATTTTTTTAACTTCAAGAATTAGAAGTTTGATGGGCATTTCCCATGTGAGCACCTGATGGCTCAGACCTGTCCCAGCTGTCCAGCCCCACAGGCGGCTCAGCCTGGGAATGGTAGGGGGAGACAATGTTCAGGAGCACTGGAGGGTGAGCAGGAGCTGTAGGGTGTTGGCTACCTTGGTGAGTATGTGTCCTGGGAGGCAGCCTGAGCTTGGCTTTTCCCTCCAGGCTTCGAGGAGCAGGAACCGAAGAAATGTCCCCTCACCCCGTCCCTCAGCCAGTGACACTGTGGGGAGAAGGAGCTTGGAAGTACAGCCCTCTCGTCGACGTAGTATTAGTGGAGGCCCCAGGCAGCATCAGAGCTCGGGGGACTGGAGCTTCCAAAGGGAATCCTCGGACAAAGAGTTCTGGGCTCCCAAGTCCTCCACTGCCCATGCTGGGGTTCTGGGGTGGAGGCTGGATCAGCTGGTGGACAGGGGGGATGGCTGCTCCCCACGAGTGGCCCCCTCTTGGAGCCCTGGCCCTGCTGTACAGCCGTTGCTGAGGAGGAGGCAGTCTCTGGGGGATCCCCCAGCTGAAGAAAGTTGGCAGGAATGGCCAAGAGAACCCTCTATCCGGTTCAGATTGGGAGCCAAGACTCATTCCCTGGGGAGCGTGGCTTAGACTGAGCCTTAGCTGGGACATAAGGAGCATGAGAATAAAGCTGAGATGCAACCACCCAAATCTGTGCTGTGTCTACTGGCTGCATCTGGGTGTGAGGACACCATGGCCTAAGCCTCCTAGCTGGGAGCGGGGGTGTAGTCTGGCTGGAGGCCTCTATCTAGATAGGGTGGCAAAAGGGGCTGGGGCATGACCAGTCAGCCTCTCTAGTCCTGAAGTCCCCATGGGGTAGGAGGGGATGGATGATGGATTAGGAGGCCAGCAGCTGGTGGGGCCTGGGATGTGGCCCTTTTCTTTCCTTTCCATCTTCCTGCCTCCTCAACTTTTCTTCCCAACTCCCCAGGGCTCTCAGGCAGTGGGTATCACCGGGTGCCGTTGCCACAAGAGGTGGGAGGGACGCCTGGGAAGGGGGGCAATTAGACTAGGTGGCAGGATGTGAGTCAGGTCACCTGGGGCCACCCATGAGAGGGTGGGGCCACGTAGAGCTAAGATGAGGCAGGCTGAATTTAGGGTGGGCCTAGCTGGGCGTGGTGGCCGGTCCTGCCTCCCTGGGGTAATGTGCAGTAACCTTACTCCCTCCTGCTCCACAGGACAGTGGAGTCAGGTGACCCCTGAGCTTCCAGCGGGCAGAGGGGCTGACAATCCCCTCCTATAGCCCTAGGTGGGGCCTCAGATGGCTGCCCAACCCTGTAGGTGGCCCTTGGAGAACAGACCCGGGGCTGTGGGCCCTAATGGGAGAGGACTTCCTCATGCGCCATGTGTGTCATGCCTTTTTGAGGGTATTTCCAGACCATCTTGGAGAGGCAGAGCCAGGGCCCCAGGAGTGAGAGGTGGTGGTGGTGTAGGGAGGGCAGCAGCTGACTGGGGCTGCACATCTTTCAAGGGGAGGAAGAAACCTTTTATCTGTAGTTTCAAGGGGTGGCCCAAGGAGGGGGTGGTTGTGACTGTAGTAAGTTGCTCCCTCTCTCTGGTGGTCAAGATAATTGCACAAGGGAAGCTTGGGGCTGGCCCTGGGGGCGGGGTGGGTGTGCTTTCATCCCTGGCCTTGAGGCACAGACCCCTGGTGCCCTCATACCAAGGGCTGTGATTTTGGGCCAGTCACAGCAGCAACCTGAGTTATCCCAGCGGCAAAGCTCATGCGGGGCTTCTCCAGCTCCGAGAGAAGGCGGAGGGGTGTCTCTGTGTACATCCTGGATGCTGGGCCTGGCTCAGTAGACGGCCCCCCACCTCCGCCGCTGTTTGCCCACCCGCAGCCCTGTGCTGTCACGTTCCAGCCGCCTGACTCAGACCTCACGGGGCGGGGAGCTGGGAGGCGGTGCTGGGCGTCCGGTCGGCCCCAGAGGCGGCACCAGGAAGCGCCCGCCCCGGCCTGAGCCGCCATGTAACCGGCGCCGCCCGGAGCCCCAGCTGCGCGGGCCCATCAACTAATCGGCCATGGGGGACGAAGATGAGGAGGAGGGCTGTGAGGTGGAGCTTCGGATCACAGAAGGTGGGCGAGGGGCCTGGCCATGGCTGCCCAGGCGGCTGGGAGGGGTGAGGGTCTGGTTATGCTCATTCCTCCCCTGTGCCTGTAGCCAATCTGACCGGGCATGAGGAGAAGGTGAGCGTGGAGAACTTCGAGCTGCTCAAGGTGCTGGGCACGGGAGGTGAGGACCCTGTGCACTGGGAAGGTGTCCCAGACATAGTGCTTTGGACCTCCAACCCACACACCCGCTGGGGCCTGCACCAGGCCCCTGGGGAGGCCCCCCACCCTTTCCCGGCATGGCCTGCCTTGCCCGCCCTGCCCTACTGTGCCAGGGTTTCATGCCCACTTCCAGGGAGCTCCACTGCAAGGTCCTGCGTGTACATGTTCTCTGATGGGATTTGCCAACCTCCTTGGGGACTTGCACCTCTCCCAAGTGATTTGCACTGCTCCTTCCCTTCTCTGAAGTGTGAGCCCCTTCCCACAGTTTGCAAACTCTCAGCTCAGGTTTGCACATCCCTCCTCCAGCTGAAGTGCACCTCTGGCTCCCTTGCATTTGCATCCTTGCTCCTCCCTTTGATTTTTCTCAGGTTTGCAATGCCCCACCCCCACCCCTTGCTGCAGGCCTCCTGGGTTTGCACATCTCTTCCTCAGTTTTGCTGAGCACCTTCCAGGGGTAAACGTTTTCTGTAGAAATCTCTGCCAGTATTTTGCACACCTGCCTCACTTCCAATTTGCACACCCCACCTGAGTTGGCACCATCACTACCTTCAGCCATCTGCACCATCTTCCCACTCACAATCCACCCTCTGCCCCATCACCACTCCCACAGCCTACGGGAAGGTGTTCCTGGTGCGGAAGGCAGGCGGGCACGATGCGGGGAAGCTATATGCCATGAAGGTGCTGCGCAAGGCGGCGCTGGTACAGCGTGCCAAGACACAGGAGCACACGCGCACAGAGCGCTCTGTACTAGAGCTGGTGCGCCAGGCGCCCTTCCTGGTCACGCTGCACTACGCCTTCCAGACGGATGCCAAGCTGCACCTCATCCTGGGTGAGGGTGCACCACAAACTGGCCTGGGGTGGGGGGAGCACGGGACCAGGCAAGGCCACGGTGTGGGCTGGTCCTGATTTCTGTGGCATCCCCAGACTACGTGAATGGTGGCGAGATGTTCACCCACCTTTATCAGCGCCAGTACTTCAAAGAGGCCGAGGTGCGTGTGTACGGCGGTGAGATCGTGCTGGCTCTAGAACACCTGCATAAGGTAGGTGAAGCCCTGGCCTCTTGGCAGTACCTTGGGACCTGGACCTGGACCTGGACCTGGGCCTGATGAATGGCCTACAAACATGGCAGGCTAGCATCTCCCCTGGACCTCTGGGGGGCTCAGGGTAGCTCAGTGGGGACTGGGGCTGCTACCCTGGCCTTCTGGTTGATGAGGTCTCCTTCCTGGCTTTTCCTTGGCAGAAAATTCCTCTTACAGGGAACTTGGGGCTGCCTCTACTGAACTTCCTCAATTGGCGGCCTCATGCCTGGTTCCAAGACTTTGTATCTTCAGTGGCCTTTCTTAGCTCATGGCCCAGCTCTGACCCTAGCCTACTCCTGCCCTGGATGCCCCTCTGCAGGCAGATGACCTCTCAGCGGTCTCCTTAACTTGGGCCTGGTGTAGGGATGAGAGCTGTAGGAACTAGGGAGGGCCTTTGGGTGAAGGTTTCGGTGTCCCTTTTGTTTTTAAACAGCTGGGCATTATCTATCGAGACCTAAAGCTGGAGAATGTGCTGCTGGACTCAGAGGGCCACATTGTCCTCACAGACTTTGGGCTGAGCAAGGAGTTCCTGACAGAGGAGGTGAGTGGGCCCCGTGCAGGCTTCTCCTTCCTGCCTCTCTCTTCCTGCTCCATGCCTGCGTTCTGGGGGTGCAGAGTGAATAGATCCAGAAGTTCCCAACGCTCGACCCTTCAGCTGCACAAGTTGAGTGAGTCCCGCTCTGAGCCTCGGGCGCCGCTGGGGCCCAAGAGAGTTTGGGATGTACAAACCAGTCCTCTCGTCCTCCCAGAAAGAGCGGACCTTCTCCTTCTGTGGCACCATCGAGTACATGGCCCCTGAGATTATCCGAAGCAAGGCAGGACATGGCAAGGTTGGTTGGTGGGAAGACGGGGTGGGGAGAAGTATGAGAGGCAGAGAGGCCTGGAACCTCACTGGCCTGGCCCCACAGGCTGTGGACTGGTGGAGCCTGGGCATCCTGCTCTTCGAGCTGCTGACAGGCGCCTCACCCTTTACGCTGGAGGGCGAGAGGAACACACAGGCTGAGGTGTCGCGGTGAGCAGGGCCCCACATGGAGAGCAGTGAGGGGCTGCAGGTCCTGCCTTGGCTGGGCTGGGGGGGCTTGCTGCCCCTGACGCCCACTCATCCTCCCAGACGGATCCTGAAGTGCTCCCCTCCCTTCCCTTCCCGGATTGGGCCTGTGGCACAGGACCTGCTGCGACGGCTGATGTGCAAGGACCCAAAGAAGCGGCTGGGCGCAGGTCCCCAGGGGGCACAGGATGTAAAGAACCACCCTTTCTTCCAGGTGAGACTGCTGCTGCTCTGGCTGGGAGGACGCAGGAGGGATGGGTTGAGCCTGGCCAGGTTCCCTCAATGGGGAAGGCCCTGGAAATCAAGAAAGCAAGACTGTGTCAGTAGAGGCCTTTTTGTCTTCTTATCCTTTTTTTTTTTTTTTTTTTTTTAGACAGGGTCTCGCTATGTAGTTCTGGCTGGCTTTGAGCTCACTTTGTAGCTCAGGCTGGCCTAGAACTCACACGATCCTCGTGCCTCACTCTCCTAAATGCTGAGATTACAGGCATGCACCACCATGCTGAGCTCCTATCCATCTTCAGGGAAGGTAGGCAGGTATTTTCCTGAAGGAAAAAATTTGAGGTTCAGTGGTTGTCAGTCTTGGCAGGGATTTAAGAAGGGACTGGTCAGCCCTTTCTCAGGTAGACCCAGAGAAGGCAGGACCTGCCCAAGATAGACAGGAAATGGTACAAAGCTGGGTTGTGATCTAGACAGGTCTCTTACTGCCCAAATAAACCCTAAAGCCCACTCTCCTGTCTTCTAGCATCTCTCCAGGGATTTGTCTCTGGGCTTGGAGTTCAGGGGAACCACTGGATGTCTGATCACCTGCTAAGTGCACACCCCCATTGGAGTGCACTGCACAGTGCAGTGGGCCTCATTGCAAGAGCCTGCTGGGCAGCAGCACTTGGAGCCCTATCATGGGTTGGCCCTTGACCTGGGTCATTTCATATTACTCACAGAATTCCGCCGAATAGCCTTACCTTTACTGATGCAGAAAGTGAAATTTAGAGAAATTAAATTATTTACCTGAGGTCACCCAATGGGCAGTGACAGTTCTGTCCTGGGGAATTGGGCGACTTGGGTGCCCATGTTCTTAACTGCCTTGCAATTATGTTTACATGTGGGCCTCACATTTGCCACAGTTTGGTGTGGCACCATAGGTGTCCACTTATGAGCACTTACAGGGCCAGGTCCTCTGTTGCTCGGGCCGCGAGTGCGTCCTGAATCTTCTGGTAGGTCTCACCCAGAAGGTGATCTCTCAGACAGCTCAGTTTTCCACTGAGGCTGTCTCTTTGCAATGCATGTGGAGTCACTGAGCTTGTCAGTTTTCTGCAGAAGAGTCTTTTAGCCCATCCCTGGGTGCTAGAAGTAGGCTGGCCAGTCATGCTGGAGAGGCCCCAGGGCCAGGAGGATGGGTGCTCAGGAAAGCTCCCTGTATCTGCCCTCTCTCTTTGGACGGCCTCTTTGGTGAGAGCAGAGCTGAAGTCTCTGGTGGTGTAACTGGGGCTTTTAAGTCTGAGTCAGGTGTCGTGGCTGTAAGTGACCAGAAGACGGTAGGGTAGCCACTGGGATGGAATCTGGGTGCATGTAACAGAGATCAAAGGACCAGGGATCTGAAGAAGACAGACTTCCTTCTTCCCATATAAAAGAAGTCTAGAAGTTGGCAGGCCAGGGCTGTGTGGTGTTTTCACAGTGTCACGGTATCTTCAGGAACCCAAGCTCTTTTCTTCTTCTTTTATTATTATTTTAGTAGTATGTTTGTGATGCGTAATGAATGCATTCCTGGTGGGGAGCTGGCATATGTACAAATCGCACCTTAAGTTCCTTTTTCTTCCTTCCTTTTTTCCATTCATCCTTCTCCCTGTTCTTAGCATGTAGCCTCCTTGCCTAGGGCTGCTGCCTGCCATCTAGGCTGCTCACCAGACAAGAAGTAGGGGGAAGAAGAGTGGAAGAGCACTTATCAACTACGGACCTCACACTTGAGGCACTTTTCTGGGACTCCTACTTGACAGTTTTTGCTTACAAGTTTCTGGTACCCCTAATTGCAATGACATATTCGTAAAAGAGTGTCTTTTAGTTGTGTGTATTGGTTTTTGGAATAAAACTGACACTGTCGGGGCTGGCGAGATAGCTCAGTGGACTAAAAGTGCCTGCTTAGGCAAGCTTAGGCAAGCGCAGAGACCACAGTTAGATCCTTGGTACCACATGCCATGCCAGTCCTGCCTGCAGGGCATGCTGAGCTGGCCAGAGTCTGGGCGTGGTGGCAAACGCCTGTAATCCCAGTGCTGGGGAGGCTGAAAGCAGGAGGATCATTACAAGTCCCAGTTGCATAGTGAGACCCTGTAACAACCAAATACATAAAAAACAAAACAAAACAAAAAACCAACTGATATTGTGGTACGAATGAATATGGGGCAGGTGAACACTAGCTTACATATCAAAAGGCATGTTCCTACCCCTGTAGTGAAAGGTCCAGGGAAATGTCCCACAGTCTGATTTCAGGCAAGGTTGCATCCAGATGCTGATGTTTCTTGGTTCTGCTTTTCTGCATAGGGACCTCATCATTGGATATTAGATGAGTCCATAGCAGTTCCAAACCCACATCCTTCCAGATTAAGTCCAGCAGGAGAAAGAGATTTGTTTCTTTTTTATACCAATTCTATTAAAGTTCCAGAACTGAGCATGGTAGAATGGCAGCTCTCCAAGGGGAATAGGGATTCTGTTACCAGACGCAGGGAAGAGGAAGTGGGGTGAGGCAGAAAGAACAGAGTTCGATGCCTTGAATGCCGTCCATGTCCTTGCCTCACAGGGGAGCTCTCCCATGCCTACTTTCGATGTTCACTTCTGACTCCTCTTCTATAGGGTCTGGATTGGACTGCTCTGGCTGCCAGGAAGATTCCAGCCCCATTTCAGCCCCAGATTCGCTCAGAGCTGGATGTGGGCAACTTTGCAGAGGAATTTACTCGGCTGGAGCCTGTGTATTCACCCCCTGGAAGCCCCCCAACTGGGGACCCTCGAATCTTTCAGGTGAATGTGGACTCATGGAACCCCCAGGTGCTGAACTCTGCTGCCTGCCCGCCCCTCTGGCTGGGGACACTGCATAGGTCTTGGGTCCTTGAGACTAGCATTTACCCCAGAATTCTCCCCTTATGGGTGCTGGAGCTGTCAGTCATGGAGGATGCTATGGTGTGGCACGTGTTTGATGGTTCATGGTTGGGCTTTAAATTTCACTTCCCTGCTATGCCACCATCTCCTTGTGGTTGTATAAAAACATCGCTTTCAATTAGTTACTTGCTTACATGGACACTTAGGAAGAGATGGCCTATTGGTGCTGTGTACATTGAAACCTTTTCCCCCCCTTTTGAGACAAGGTCTTACTTTGTAGTTCAGGCTGGTCTTGGACTCACTATATGGCCCAGCCTGGACTCGAACTCTCAACAATCCTCTTAACCTCTGGGGTGCTAGGATTACAGTCATGAACCAGCAGGCCCAGCTGCACTTCCTTTTAGAACCTCAACCTGTCAGACAAACTTAGCTGCTTTGCTCAGCATTTGAGGCCCTCCATGACATGGTCTTTTCTGAGCTCCTTAGCTTCAGGGCTCGCTGATATGGTCTTGAGGGTGCCACTGAGTACCCAGAGGCCCAGGGTACATCTCTGAACCCTGTATATGTTGTCCCTCTGTTTGGAATGCCCTCCCTGTGGTAGTCACCTGCTAAGCTCCCACTCTCTGATTAAGTGTCACTGTTCACTCATCTGACCCATGGGGCTCTCCTTGGGTACAGAGCTCTCCTTGTACAGAGCTGTCTGTAGATAACGACTTATGAGCAGTTTGTTATCTTGTGTCCTGACTCTTCTGGCAGTCCTCTTAGGTGGGGCCACCTGTCCCTAGGCCCAGTTTTCTCTGTGAAACTCAGAATTGATCACTCTGTGTTTGAATGTCCCTATTCCACTGTCTGAGTCTAATAAGAAAAGTTCATTTGTGAATCATGGGTTACTTTATTCATTCATGTAATGGTTAAAAAATGTGTTTAAGGGGCTGGTGAGATGGCTCAGTGGTCTAAAGCACCTACTTAGAGCAAGCTTAGCAAAGCACAGGGACCGTGGTTCAATCCCCCAGCACCACATGCCAG